GGCCAGCCCGAGGTGGGCGGAGCCAGACAAAAATTCTGTAAAACTTCCAGAGCACTTCAGACACCGGAAAAAAGTGGAGTACAGAACAAAAGGCGGATATCAGTTGAGTCTAGAAATATGTGAAAGAAGGTACGCGCGGCGAAGCCGCGCCCGCCCGGCGCAGCCGGGCCGTATCAGAAGGAGCCGCGCCGGCGTCAGCCGGCGAGGCGACTGGTTGTCATATAAAGCAATAGCTTGTTAACTTTAAACTGCGGCAAGTAACAATGCTTTTAATTTAGGCCCTATGTACGCTTCTTATGGCTGAGATATGTGAACCATTCGACAGTGGTCCTGGATTGGTGAACGAAGGTGGCCGCGAATCAAAAGCAAGCTCACGAGGGAGTCGTTGTCCCAGCAGCGCCGATTTGGCTGAAAGTGGTGAGACGATTCCTTTTTCTTAGCGCTGCTTTGACTGATTATCCATTGTTACAGTATAAAGCGTACTGGATAGATAAATAAAAATGATTAGTTATTAGTCTTTCTGTTGAGTAGTGGCTAATAAGCAGCGGGAGCAAGTGAGGCTGTGTTCATACTCTGCGTCGTGCGTCTTTTAAGCGCGCGCCAGCGTTCTGAGCTACTAGGGAAGTGGACGTCAATCCAACTTTTCGTGCGTACGCCAGCGCTCCTGGGCGATTACTCGGGGAAACGCTCGAAACGTGGATTGGTATCTGTACATTCCTTGTTGCTGAAAACGCTCTAAACGCCGCCGTATGCTCAAAGCACTGAAGCAAAGTATCAACGCGTCCGGTCCGGACTTATGATAAGGTAATGTCTTCTATTTATTTCAGTTCTTGGAAGCCTTAAGTTTGCATTGCCTTCCTAAATCCTGAACCTTTGTCTGCACCTGTGCATGATTTACTTTTAGATCGCCGGAATCGTCGAGCCGCAACGATGGCGGACAATGAAGCGATGAGAACAGTGTTGTCGGCGTTATACCACATGGTGGAGTTGATGCGCAATGAAGAATTGACTAATACCTTAGCTGTTGACGATCCCAGCTTGCCAGCGAGAGGAAGCGCGTTCTTAGAGGAATTGAGTAGGTTCATCGAGAGCTTCCCATAGCTGAGATTGAGTATCCAAGGCTTAAACTTCAGGTGAACCACTAGATCATGTGGGCCAGCCTTTGCTACTTGTTCTGTTCGAAATGCTCCCTCCATTCTACACAGGAACCTCACCTCATTTCCCAATCAAAAAAGTAAGTATTTTTTACAAATTTTACTGTTCTGTTCGGGCGCTATTGTAGCTAAAGTGGTGAGGCCGCTCGCCAGTAGAAGTGACACACTCCAGGGTGTGGAGCCCTGGAGTGTGTCACCCCCCCCCGCTAGGCGCGTAGTAGAGCGCAGACGACCAGAAATCGCTGGCGAATTTTTGAGGAGGAGCATAGGGAGGCTGCGTTCATACTTCACTTCATCGTGCGCCAGCCCCGGCGACTAGGAAGTATAGGTGCCGATCTAGCGTATGCCTGCGTACAGCAGCGTTTCCAGCGACCAGGAAAGTATGGATATCGATCTAGTGCTGTGCTCAAGCTTTAAACTGCCCGCGAAAACGCTGGCATACGCTAGATCGATATCTATACTTTCCTAGTTGCTCGAAATCAGGGCACATCGTTGTTGGGGAATCCCCAATAGGGGGGGGGTCGTATTTGGTCGCCAGGAGGGGGGTCGTATTTGGGCTGAGAAAAATTTATTTTGATAGTTGATTTTTCTCGCTTCATGGACGTTGTAAAGGGAGGGGGGTCGTATTTGATCATTTTGGGGGGGGGTCGTATTTACGTTTTGGCGTTGTGGGAGTGGCGGTTGACTTTTGGTGATTTTCCTCCCGCTCGACAGCAAAATTTTTGGTAAAAAGTAAGGAAGTTTTCGGGAAATTTTGGAAAAAGCAGGAAGTTGGGGAAAATCTGATTGTAAAGGGGGGGGGGTCGTACCAACTCCCAAAAAAAGGAGGGGAAGGGGGAGGGGTCGTATAGAGTCGTTTTAAATCCC